TTTTTTTCTCGACTCCTTTGACGGATATCAGAGCATCCCTACGTGGTGGAGATGGTACAGTTGGATTTCACCGACCGCGTGGACCATTTACGGGCTGATAATCGGACAGTATGGAGATGTCGAGGATACGATTAGTGTTGCAGGGGAATCGACACGGCCGATGATCAAAACCTATATACAAGAGCACTTCGGATATGATCCTGAATTCGAAGGTCCTCTCATTGCTATATTGATCGGTTTCGCGCTTTGCTTCGCATTCACGTATGCTTATTGTATCAAGACGCTTAACTTCCAAAAGAGGTAATAGAACACTAGATTGGGATTTTCAAATGTTGTTGACAAAATTGTGCAGGTTACAAAATTTTGTAGGTAGCATCTTGGAATTCATTTGTTAAATGTTCTTGTTATCTCAATCAACACAGATTGTATAGTGAGATGTTTTGGTGGCGATTGGTTGAGAGTTAAATCATAAACTTTCTAAAACTCACATCACATTATTAACTCAAATCATAAAACCCTCTACTGAAAGAAGCTCACTTTATTCTGTTTAAGTTTTTATTCACTTTTCACACACAACAATAGAGTCCAGCTTAGTGTCGACAGTCCCGATCACAAACCCGCCTTGTCGTTTAATCTGTTGCAGATAACTAAGCACCTCCTCTGTAATAACCTCCCCCGGGACCAAAACCGGGATCCCGGGCGGGAAAGGACAAACAAACTCTCCACAAACTTCCCCTACACAATCCTTATCGAACTTCATTTTCATCTTCCTCGCGAAAAACGCCTCCCGAGGACTCAGCCTCATCACTGGATTGTCAATAGGCATCAATTTCTTAGCAAAGGACGTGTGAATTTTGTTGTCCGTTTTTTCATTTGTCTCCGAAAAGAATCTTTTCGATAAACTCTCTAATCCCGAGACTAGCCGCTCAACGTGCTCACGAGTCGTACCTAGACTGAAAGCTAGCGTGATCGAGTTCGTGCTCACGAACTCCGGCACAATTCCAAGCTCATCATCAAGTACCTCTTTCGCCTGAAAACCCGATATCCCGAGTCTCCACACGCCGATAGTAATCCTCAAAGGGTCCAAGTCGGGAGAGTCGGCAAAATCTTTAAGGTCAAGCACCAAAACTCCCGGGACTTTACCTATCATAGTTTTGGCTTCTTTTGCGAGTTCGACAGTTTTATTGAACATGGTGTCGGGGTTCGTACTCAGCTGGTGCCGAGCAGAGTCGAGGGAAGCTAAAAGGAGCCAGTTCGGGCTCGTCGTTTGAAGAGAGTGGAGACATTTGTGCAGTCTTTCCCTGTCGACTTTATCATCTCCCGAAATATGGAGCATGGACGATTGGGACGAGCAGAGGACCTTGTGGGTCGACTGTATCGAGATATCGGCGCCTTGTTCAAGGGCCGTTTTTGGCATTTCCGGGTGGAACTTGAAGTGGGCCCCGTGGGCCTCGTCGATTATCAGAGGGATTCCTTGGGACCGGCAGATTTCCGAGATTCCGGTCACGTCGCTGCATATGCCGTTGTATGTCGGCGACGTGATGAAAACCGCGGCTAATTTTCGACCTTCTGATTTCGATTCTTTTATTGCTGTTTCCACCTGTAAAGAATAAAAGATATTCAGTTACGAATGATAAAACAACGAAAAAAACAACGAAAAAACGTACCTGTGAAGGCGTGATCCCGGCAGCAATGTCCCAATCGAGGCTACGTTGCGGGACAATGTATTTCGGGATGGCGCCCGAGATTATGACTCCGGTTGTGGCCGACACGTGCGCGTTTCTCGGCAGGACAATCGTGTCGCCCGGCGAACAAGTCGCCATCACGGCAGCTTGGACCCCACAGCTCGTGCCGCCAACCAAAAACCACGTCTCTTTCGCTCCGAACAGGTCGGCCGCGAGATTCTTGGCATCCAAAAGTGGGCCCTTTGGGTTGAAGAACATGTCGAGCTCCGGGATCTCGGTCACGTCGTGAAAGAAAGGGTGTGGGCCGATGAGGTCGGTTAGTGCGAAGGGCGCGGCTTCTCCCCTTTTGTGGCCCGGAAAGTGAAAGGCGACGGCATTCCTTCCGGCCGAAGCTTTTAGGGTGGCTACCAACGGAGGGAGGTCGGTGGACGAGAGAGTGGCCGGTTTCAGTTTAAGGGTGTGGGCCGTGTTTACGGCAAGTTTGTCGTTTTGATCAGTCCCCACTTTCGGTTTCTGCAAGCATTATAATGGTTTTATCACCGTAATCAGAACGAACGAGCCGAGCTTGAGGATTTTGAGCTCGTGTTTATTTATGTTTGCACACTGTTCGTGTTCGTTCATTTGTTTTTCGAGTGAAAATTTGTGTTCGAACTCGTTCATTTAATTGTTTATTAAAGTTTGAGTTCTGTTCTAAAATTTAGAAAACAAATTATAGAATTATTTGATTAACTTTGAATTTGTTCGTTTGATCTCGTTGGAGCTTGAAAATAAAATAAAAATATTTTATATTTTAGATTTTTTATAAAGTATGTCATATAAATATACAAAAATAATATATATATATATGGATTGGTTCAAATAAAAACTATGTCTGGTGTGAGAACCGTGAGAACCATGTTTGATGCTATTTTTAATATTGCATTGTGCTATTGTTTTGACAAGTGCTAAAAATTTTGTTGCTATTTTTAATAAAATACATCCTAGTTAAAAATAGCACTAAAAACAATTAACCATAGCACTAGGTACAACTAAAAATAGCGGTTCTATATAGGATGTGGTTCAAATGAGAACCAAGTCTTAGCGTGAGAACCGCTATTTTTAGTTGTACGTAGTGCTATGGTTAATTGGTTTTAGTGCTATTTTTAACATAGATTTATTTTATTAAAAATAGCTACACAATTTATATTAGCATTTGTGAGAATGATAGCACCATGTGTGTTAAAAGTAGCATCATTCACAATTATAAATAGAATTAAATATGGTTCTTACAGTTCTCACACCAGCGCTGGTTTTTTATTTGAACCAGCCCCTATATATATATATATATACTGTACAGGTGGTCATACCGATCAAGCCACCGATACGCGGTATTACCGGTAGGACCGGTAATATCGATGGTATGACCACTTGTACGGTATTTAAAACTCTATATGAAATGCATAAATTTAATTACATACTAAAAATATCCTAAGGAAAGTCTATCACAATCAAATATTTTCTTGGACACAATTAATCAACTTGGAATCAATTTAAATAAGCAACAAAAAATAAACCCAAAAACAAGAGGAAAAAAGGGCATAATAAGCTAAAAAAAAAAAAGTGGAAATAATTTGAATTATGTTTAAGTATATAACTCATTGATTTAATCTAAAAAAATAAATTTAATTTATTTTGGGTTAAAATAAGATTAATATAACCGTGTATAACATGAACTAAAATTCTTTTTACTAGTATATATTTAACATTGTCGAAAAATTAAGACCATGCTGGAGCCCACCCCAACTTTTGGGATGGCACTGTCCCTGAGCCTGATTTTTTGTTTTAATAATGTTCGATTAATAAATAAACGAGCTTTTGTCAAACACAAACAAGTCAGACGAGCTTTAATTTGCCAATGTGTTAACAGCCCTATCACTTTTATGATGTAAGAAGTTGAAGGGGAAAAAAGAAAAAAAAAATGACTTCATGGTTTCATGCAATTGATAATAAAAATTATGAATATAAAACTAAAACCTGATCAACTTGCTGAGGCAAAGATGTGCCCTGAGTTGATGAAAAAACCCTCATGTTGTGATTTAGTTATTATATATCGTTGGTTGTGATTTTTTATTTATTTTTTTTTTTTTTATTTTTTTTTTTTGGTGAAAAGTGTTGATTTTTATAGCATATGATGGGATTCACGTATGCCTTGAAAAATTTGTTAATTTGATGCTACGGAAATGTTAAGATCCCGTTACAGAATCGTTTTATAGGGGTTTGTAATAATCGTTAGATCATTATGTAACTGTCGGGATACTTGATCTAACAGTTATAAACTTCGACGGAATAATACCGCAATGAGACCATAGCATCTCTCACTAAAGATACCGTATGTATAGCTAGATTACAAAATGATAGCCTTAAAAATTAATTAATTTTTGGGGCGAATGGTGTATTAGTTAAGGCCGTTCGTCAGATGCTCCAACGGAAATGGGCTGTTGATCTTCGACATGTGCATCGAGAGGCAAATTTTGCAGCAGACCACTTAGCGAGCCTCGCGTCTTCTTATCCGATTGGTCTCTATGTGCTCTCATTGCCGCCTCCTAGTGTAGGCGACTGGCTTCAACATGATATTATTGGGGTATCGTACCCCCGACGTATTTGTGTTTAAATCTTAGGCCACCGACCTCCTTCTTTATACCCAAAAAAAAAAAAATTATTTAATTTGGCGATATGTGTTAGCTAGATTACAATTTACAACATGATAGCTACAGGTACCTGACGCTATAAAGAACTCAAATTTAGGTAGGGTGGCTACAAAGAGGGAGAAGATTCTCAACGGATATTTTACCAATTTTTTTTTTTTTTTAACAACACGATAGGAATCTCATAAATACTAGAAAGAGAATACATAGTTCATCGTACAATAATAACTAAACATCGCATGAAATGAGAGACCTCGCATGAGAGATCTACAGGCCAAATGCTAGTATAGGCAGCACAAGGCTGAAATCCTACAGTAGGAAAATCCAAAAACAAAGCGTACCAAATAAAAAAAATGTCTAAAAAGACCTAAATCATCCACATCAATCCTATGCAAAAAAGCTAAATAGCAATAAATTCCTGCCATTCCCTGACACAGGCCCGCTCCAAGGGGAGGCAACCTAGGCATGGGCCTAGGGCCTCCATTTATTTGGGGCCTCATTTTTTTTTTTATTATGTATTAATGTTGGGTTTTGTTTATCTACACAAATGAGTCATCATTATTTTTTTAAATATTATGTATTTGAGTTGAATTTTGTCTATTTACACAAATGAAAGAGCTAATGACAAAATATGTAATTTGACCGTTGACTTCCGGCGTTGACCGTTGACTTCCGACGTTGACCCCGACGTTGACCTGTTGCCCCTTGTATGCAGTATGTATGGAGTAAATATGCATCCAGTACCATGCATTTAATATGAACTAAATATGCATGGGGTATGAATTACACATCAGTCCTTATGAACTAAATATGCACCAATAATATCAACTAAGTATGCACCTGTTATTAACTAAATATGCATATGTTATGAACTAAATATGCATCATGAATAAACTAAATATGCAGCGAAAATATGCAATAAAATGTACATTTTA